GGTAAAATCTCGATATCGGGTGTTAACATATCATCGGCACGCACGTGTACTATTGTTTACCATAGGGCCTGATCGTTTATGCGGAACAACCGGTTTGACCGTTTATAAATGTAACAATTTCGGACATAAATCCTGGCGGACCTGCAAATGTGTATGCAGGCCTTGCAAGGCTTTCTCAAGGCTCGCCTGAAAGCAGCATCAGATTACTAGGTCCGATCTTATTTAATAAACGAACAACAGTACTAGTGGTCCGATCGATTTGACCGTTTAAACAAAAACGGCCCAGGTGTTACTATAATTTGCAATACGATATTGAATGCCCGATACGCAATCCGAAAATGACGACACGGTGTACATGCACATTTCGATCAAGATAATTGAGTCCTAGCTGTACTTTTCCCGGAAGTACGTCACGAAAATGGACGCTGATGATGATGTGTGGAGCCACCTTAAGTGATGAACGATTTGGAGAAGCATTTTCAAACAAAACATGCTCAAACCATCTCGAACAGTATCTCGAGGTCAAAACATTTCGCAATATACATCAAGGACTATCGACTGGTATAGCTAAAAGAATGCTAGATTTATTTTTTATTGAGACATACCCTTCCTTTATTGATTTTCTTTCACAGATAATTTATCAGAGAGCGTGTATGACTATTTTACACCTTTTTACATGTAGCACACCCTAATCATATCTACCTCCATCACAACAATAGACAAATACATATGATAATAAGTGGAGTAACCGTTGTTTGGAAATATCGATTTGGTGAAGTGCAGTCCTTGGAACTTTACAAAAACTTACTTAAGATATGATGTACATGAATATCGTGGTTTTGTTAACGGAAATATCATGTTTATGTTACTTAAATGTAGCCAATCGTCACGGGTGGTTATTTTTTATAGACAAGATAAGAACAAAAAAGAGACTAGTGAAGTATCAACGAAACCGTATTTCGAACTCAAAATCGATGAAATGACAAAAAGATGAAAACAGGAAATACTCATGTGGATACCTTAAAAATACCCGCCTAGTTAATCTAGGTCAAATCCATAATATCACGTCCTCAAAACAAGAACTGGGGAAATGACAACAAAACATAGAGGCACACGAATGAGCTTCATTAAATTTATCAACCTTCATTTCATACAAAGAAATACATAATGTAGCATATCTCCCAATGCGATCGTGAATGCGACCAGAGAGCTTGTCTATGTTCTACATCAATTAAACTTCTTTATTGGGAACCTTGTTGGAAGTTGCCCATCAACAGTCGACATCTTCTGGTCACAGACAAATCATTTTATTTAGAATAAGCTCATGAATACCGAATCAACAGCGGCATGTGAACACCGAATTTAGGGAAAGCAGGATGTTATTAAAAAAGCAACACATCGTCGATATATCGGAGCGTGAAATTTAATGACTTGGCTTTGTTTTTGTTACCAGTTCTGATAAACATATAGCTAATTTCAACCTCATATGAAAACACACATAAGTTAGCCAAAAGGGGTACATATATTATTCAAATAAGAATTAATTCATACAAACTGTTGGAAAATCTTGCCGCCGAACTAATTAAGATATTGTCAGGGATTTTCACTTCTCGAAAACAGTGTCACACTACGATGGTGACCCTGATTAAATGATACTAAGAACGATAGTAAGTTGTTAAAATAATGGTTTGGTTGTGTCAATACACGTAGAGGAGACAAAGCATATCGTTAAAGATGAGATACCGGTGTACCTTGGAAAGATAGGAAAAGAGTGTAGAAATGTATGATAACAGACGGAACATAATTGACACAATCTGATTAAATTCCTATCCTACGTTCTCTACGTATCACGTTAGGTGATACGTAGAGAACGTAGGATATGATTTTAATCAGATTGATAATTGACAGTTCATATATTAAAATAAATACAAAGTGAACAGTGAAAGTTGTGGAATTCCTTTGTAATGATATAATAGTTAAGTATGTTGGTATAACATTTCAGATCAGGAACCCAAGTTACTGGTGCAAAAAATTGAATTTGTTTATTTTGTTCAAATATTCATGATGTATCACGGAAGACCAGAGAAACGATATTTTGTCATTTGTCAGAGTGCATCTAGAATCAAATGATGTAAATGTCTGCCGAGGTATGTTTATCAAGTTGATCGGACACCTTCATTGGAATCTAGGTAACCTGAAATAGGGAAGTCATCGGAAAGGTACTAGAAACGACATCAAGAACCAACTTGACAGAAGCCATCTTAAGACATTTTTTTAGAAGCTAAATCAACCGAACTTTTCATAACGACTATACACAGAATCATCACCATAATTACGTAATAACATACCTCGGCAGACATTTACCGATTGTGTCTATCAAATGAAAACGTATAACGATGTATATCCGTGTCTTCCTTGTTGCCTTTAGGGCAACGTTACCTAGATAATCTAATTAATGGAATAACGCTGTTCTTTTAGGAGTGCAAACACTAGTCACGTGATGCCTTGTTTACACTTTACAAAGAAGCTGATGTCGTATTTCTGGACGCTGCAGTGTTTTGAGGATTAATCTCCTTCTGCTTCACCGACGACACCATTTTAATTTCGTGTATATCTAGGTGTAGAAGTAATGTCATGTCCTCAAAGAGAGAACGGGGTTAGTTACAAAATACACAAGGTACACAAATAAGCGTACTTTTGTAGCAATCAAAAACTTCTACATCCACATCGCAGTCTTTAACAACTTGCATCTCTGGAAAGTCTGTGTTGTAAGTTTTCCGTCAACATTCAACATCTTTCATAGAAAGTTCGTTAACACCGCAGGTACAGGAAACAGAGACGTTGATATAAAGCCATCATTCAGGATAGAAAAGTCATGTTGTAAGTAAAGAGCGAAGAACATGTACTTGCCAGATGTTCAGGTTCAGGAAGCAATGACGTGGTTAATAAACTTCTTGTTATTTAAAGGATCCAATTAATCGATATAGATTGAACGTTATGAAACAGTCTGTGTTACTTATCATAAGAAAATATACCAAAGTCGTTAAAGAGAGAGGCACAATTGCCTTTCTTGGATAGGGCAAAGTCTGCTAAATTGTCTTTGCAATGAGCTCAGAAATATGTTCAACAAGAAATTCAATCATTCACATGATTTCTTCCTCAGTATATTTCGTCTTTCCTTTTCTTGTATATTTTTCGTACAAAACATGATCTAAAATCGTTCACAATTATTTGTCCGTTTTCTATTCGCAACAGAAAACTCTACTAATAAGAGAACGAATGCATTTTCCAGTTTAATCAGATTTATAGAAAACATAATGGAAAGGTAAAATGTTCTAATAGAAGAAAAAGTTTTAAGCAAAGGATGTTAGAATTGTACTAGAGTTGTTTGAGTTGTTCAAACCCATGCTTTCCACTTTCGGAGTATAGTGTCACGATGCCACTGTACATGTAATCCCGATTTACATTTAATAAGAATGGTAGTAAGAAGGATCAGTAGAGCAAACGATAAAAGGTGTTTGCAAGGTTTCTCCAGTTTAGGAATCCAATACCTACTTAAAACCTGTTTTTGGACAGATTCAACACAGAAACATGAATATCAAGTACATGCATTTGGTCTTTCGAAAATTTGGAATTCATAAACAGGGCTCCATTAGTTACTTATCAAGACTAGTTCTTTTTGTCAACAGGAAATGTAGGTTTGGAAAAAAGTCAAGGTATTAAATGCTTTGTCTTGCGGCATATAATAACCATGCAAATCGTTAGCATCATCGGAAATCTGTTATAGCTAAGGAATATGAAGGGGAAATACTGCCTTAATGGCAAGCTAGCTTTATCTGTTATAGCTAAGGAATATGAAGGGGAAATACTGCCTTAACGGCAAGCTAGCTTTATCCGGTGATGCGGTAACCCAGGGACCTGCTCACTAGTTCAGCAACGTTGAGCATGGTCAGTAGTTGGATGGGTGACCGCCCGCACTTTGCAAATCGAAGTAATGCAATACAGACTTGTGTTTGGTGTTCAGAGCTCCTAATTCTTATAAGAGTGACGGACTTGATAGACATGCTATCTACTCTGAAAGTGAATCAAATCAGCATCCTCTAGCCTTGCCCCTTGTACATGTCTAGTGATGTCTTTCATGCAATCCATAAGTATCTTCTTTCAGTTTCACATTGCAATTACTAGTACAAATCTCTCGATGATGCAGACTATTCATGAAAAGCTGTCTATTTTAACATTATTTATAAAACGTAGATCGCAAGTTATTACGTAGCCAGCTAAATCGTAGTTGTATAGAAGTTTAGAGATGTAGACATGCTGTATGTATATAATTGGAACCCAAAATTGATAAAAATCAAAGGCAAGAGAATAATGAAGAGTCAACAAAACCACTCGAGCTCAAAATTGATACAAAATGTGAACAAGAAAAGATTTACACCGAGACCCTTGTATAAGGAGAATTAGACCAGGTGTTCCAGAAGGGTAGGGTTCTTCTGCTTCAGGAACCAAACCCACCATGTAAATCTACGTCACATCCAAGTTATGTCTCCTGCACACACCGTGAACTCCGGTAGTGACAACGAATCAAGTGTACAGGCAAAATAAATTAAATCATTATTGTGTAATTAGTACCGATACCACACATGTTGAACTGTTTAAGCTTTGTTAAAAAATACACGATTTAGATATTAATTTTGAATGCCCAATACGTTTGTTATTTTTTTGTTGTTTTCTTTTTCCACTATGTTTCCTAGCAATTTATCAAAAAAACAAAAGAATTGGAAAACTGAAAAATTTCAAACAGAATTAATCAATTATTTTTTAAAACCTTTATTCTAAGGGTTTATTCCATGGAATGTTTAATCCAAATCTGAATGGTTTGCATTTTCGGTAATCAAATCTATTTTATTGCATTTATTAAATCACTTGCATATTTTAACAAAGATTATCTAAAACCTTTCACCATTTTACTCAAACAAAACACATACAATATGTTTAGAGGTATAGTTTATTTCAGCAACTTAGTTTGCTTGAACACTTTTCAGTTAACCCGCATTGCTATAAATACTCTCGCTCACTCTCATTCCAAGTTTTTATCACAATAAGCCCTGTCCAGTGCCACCTTAGGAACACAGATCGGTCATCTCAGACCTTTCTTGGCTGCTTGGTGTATATGAGAATCTAATTTATCTGTAACAGAGAAATAAGAAATCGCTGAAAATATCTCACAAGGTTATTGGACGACACCATACATGAAAGTCTAGTAGTAGAATTGGTCAAAAATGAATGATGTTTTACGGGGAGAAGAAATCACATGGGGAGATAGGCATTAAACAATAGCTGTGCACCACAATACACTGCAGCATATAAACATAATTTAAAAAGCTTTGTCGGAGCCCATACAATACAGGAAAATGTTTGGTTAGTACTTATTTTGGACATTTCAAAAAGAGTGAAAAGACCAATAATAAACTTAAATTATGAAAAAATAAATTGTGTTCATTGATAACATGCTGTACATCCCATATATCTAGAAACTTTGGTGTTTAATTAACTTTAACTAGATAACAACAGCTAACAATTGTTAGCTTACAACCAAATGCACAAAACATTACTCCCTCGAGAGCATGCAACGTAAAAGTATTATAGTTTAATTGTTAGTTTCCATGTAGAATTTATACTTATATTCACTAAACTTCAACACAATGATTCCAGACAAAAGAATTTACAAGCTTTAGCATGAATACACCAGATTTATCCGCGTATTAGTAAATCAGTCACATAATTTCCATACTTACCATCAAGTATTTGATTAAAATCGACTTCTAAAAATTCATTATCCTGACTTACAAATTTTGTGTTTTCCTTTGATGGGAAACTTGACCACCAGTTGTTGTGGCTCTTGACAGATAAAAACATAGGGGGAGGCCGACTCTCCATCAGGAAACTGCAAAAATAGATCAGTACCTGTAGTCATCAATTGCAATAAAAACAAGAGGCCCAGAGGGCCTGTATCGCTCACCTGAATGTGTTTAAAATAAAGATATGAAGTAAAGATATAGCACTTCATGGTAGATGCTGTAAGTACATATGAAATTTCAGAAAGATCCATCCAGTACTTGGGATATAGCGAGAACAAACTTCAAACAGTGCCCCACTCCTATGCCCCTAGGGGGGTCATACCCACCAATTATTCAAAATTGAGACCCCTTGGTCCAAGGATGCTCCAGATTAAATATGTAAAAAATTCCCTTAATCTCGATGGTCTCAGAAGGATTTTAAAGGTTTTACCTCTATTTCCCCTATTGGGCCCCGCCCTTCTGCCCCCTGGGAGACCCCACCCACTGCATATACAAAATTGAGTCCCCATGGCCCAAGGATGCTCCAGACAAAATTAGGATAAAATCCCTAAATCCCTATGGTAAAAGAAGGATTTTAAAGGTTTTATCTTTATTTCCCCTATTGGGCCCGCCTCTCTGCCTCCAGGGGGGGGGGGTAGACACACTGTTTATACAAAATTGGTTCCCCTTCACCCAATGTTCATACCAAATTTGGCCAAAATCCTGTCATTCGTAAAGAAGAATAAGGTATTTGAAGAATTTGCTATGTTTCCCCTATTGGGTCCCTCTCTTCTGTCCCCAGGGGGCCACACTCGCTGTTTATACGAAATTGAGTCCCTTTTNTCCCCAGGGGGCCACACTCGCTGTTTATATGAAATTGAGTCCCTTTTGTCCAAAGATGCTCCAGACTAAATTAGAATAAAATCCCTCAATCCATATGGTAGAAGAAGGATTATAAAGGTTTTACTTCTATTTCCCCTATTGGGCCCAACCCCTCAGGTCCCAGGGGGGCCACACCCACCGTTTATACAAAATTGGTTCCTCTTTACCCAAGGATGCTCCATAAATATGGACCAAATCCTTTCATTTCTACAAAAGAAGAAGGATTTTAAAGAATAATTTGCTATGTTTCCACTATTGGGCCCGCCCCTCAGGCCCCTGAGGGGCCAGACCCAGGGTTTAAATAAAATTGGTTCCCCTTTATCCAAGGATGCTTCAGACCAAATATGGAACAAAACTTTTCATTCCTACAGAAGAGGAAGGATATTAAAGAATTTGCTATATTTCCCCTATTGGGCCCCGCCCCTCAGCCCCCAGGGGGGCCAGACCCACCATTTATACAAAATTGGTTCCCCTTCACCCAAGGATGCTTCAGACCAAATATGGAACAAACCCTTGCATTCCTACAGAAGAAGAAGGATTTTAAAGATTTTGCTATATTTCCCCTATTACGCCCCACCCCCCACCCCCCAGGGGGGCCACACCCACCATTTATACAAAATTGAGTCCCCTTAGCCGAGGGATGCTCTAGACTGAATGAGGATAAAATCCTTTAATCCCTACGGTAGAAGAAGGATTTTCAAGGTTTTACCTCTATTTCCCCTATTGGGCCCCGCCCCTCTGCCCCCAGGGGGGCCACACCCATCGTTTATACAAAATTGAGTCCCCTTGGCCTAAGGATACTCTTGACCAAATTTAGTCAAAAACTACTTGGCCATTCAGGACTAGTAGCGTTTTAAAGGAAAAGTTGACGCACGGACGACGGACGGACAACAGACGCTGCAGTATGGCATTAGCTCATAAGAATGGTTTAAAAACCTACAAGTAAATATGGGAAGACCTGGCAGGGATCTATAGATAAGCCTCATAAAAACTTATCTAAAGATCATGAACAAGACCTTTAGAAAGGTCTGACATAAACCTGAAGAAAGAATCTATGAGTCACAATTCCTCATATTAGTTGTGTCATCCTCAAAGGCATATTTATGAAACAATCAATATACACAAGGTTCGTCGAGTTGATGCAAGATGATGAGTTTTTATAAACCCTACCATTAAAACATTAACAAAATCAATCGTCTTTGACTTTTGCTCTGATGTAGCTTCTGCGCTCTTTTTCTAAGTGGTGATAAATTAATATTGTTTTTAAAAATATTTACAGCAACTTAGACAAAAAAATCACCAACCTTTTCTCGGTATTGGTCCTGTGCCAGGCAGTCCATCACATCCACGCAGCCTAAGAGGCACCCAACAGGGTAATGGCTGGGGAACTCTAACCGTGGGTCTGAAACACAGAGAGTACAGCTGACCAGAGGTACCAAACAGGTAATGACTCGGAAACTCTAACCGGGGGTCTCAAACACAGAAAGTACAGCTGACCAGAGGCACCCAACCGGGTAATGACTGGGAAACTCTAACCAGGGGTCTCAAACACAGAAAGTACAGCTGACCAGAGGCACCAAACAGGGTCATGACTGGGAAAATCTAACGAGGGGTCTGAAACACAGAAAGTACAGTTGACCAGAGGCACCCAACAGGGTAATGACTGGGAAACTCTAACCGGGGATCTGAAACACAGAAAGTACAGCTGACCAAAGGCACCCAACAGGGTAATGACCGGGAAACTCTAACTGGGGGTCTGAAACACAGAAAGTACAGCTGACCAGAGGCACCCTACAGGGTAATGACTGGGAAACTCTAACCAGGGGTCTCAAACACAGAAAGTACAGCTGCCCATAGGCATCCAACAGGGTTATGACTAGGAAACTCTAACTTGGGGTCTGAAACACAGAAAGTACAGCTGACCAGAGGCACCAAACAGGCTTATGACTGGGAAACTCTAACCGTTGGTCTAAAACACAGAAATTACAGCTGACCAAAGGCACCAAACAGGTAATGAATGGGAAACTCTAACCGTTGGTCTAAAACACAGAAATTACAGCTGACCAGAGGCACCAAACAGGTAATGAATGTGAAACTCTAACTGTTGGTCTAAAACACAGAAAGTACAGCAGACCAGAGGCACCAAACAGGGTTATGAATGGGAAACTCTAACCGTTGGTCTAAAAACAGAAGGTACAGCTGATCAGAGGCACCAAACAGGGTTATGACTAGGAAACTCTAACCAGGGGTCTCAAACACAAAAAGTACAGCTGACCAGAGGCACCCAACAGGGTTATGACTGGGAAACTCTAACCAGGGGTCTCAAACACAGAAAGTACAGCTGACCAGAGGCACCAAACAGGGTTATGAATGGGGAACTCTAACATTGAAATGACTGGGAAAGTACAGTTGACCAGAGGCACCAAACAGGGTACTTTGTAATGATTGGTGAATTTTAACCCTAAGCCTGAAATAGATAGAACAGTTACAGATCTAGAGGCACCCAACAGGATGATGACTGGGGAACTATAACTGTGGGTTCGAAACAATTATGTCTTGGGAACCTAGTAAAATGTCTGATACACAAAATACTTTTCTCTCTCTTTTATATGGGAAGATTACTATTCAGGAAATTCTAACCGGGGGTCTCAAACACAGAAAGTACAGCTGACCACAGGCACCCAACAGGATGATGACTGGGGAACTATAACTGTGGGTCCGAAACAATTATGTCTGATGCACAAAATACTTTTCTCTCTCTTTTATATGGGAAGATTACTATTCAATGCAATGAGAAAATTCAATGCAGAGCAGCATGATACATGCACAATAAATACCACAATATAAACTTGATTCATGACAGGATGAACAAACTAGGCTTACCCCCCACTTAAAACACAGTTACTACAAACAATTACTACTCTACCAAATTATATACCATCATGTCCCAATAGACCCCGCCACCATCCTCATTCCATCTGACCTAGGAACAAAACATGCACACCCCTACACCTACTGACACATTTCTGCTAACAAGGAAACATACAAATTCTTCATTCTTCCCACACATGTACACATCACACAATGGAACCTCTAACTGGTAGCAGCAGTACTGGAGAGGACTTACAGGCTCATATCCCCTATACAGCCCTTGAAGTCCTTATATACACATCATAAGTACACCTACAGCTTAACCTTTTTTGTCTGAACTCCAACTAGAAAAATATATACAAAAGCATCATGCTCCTGCTATATCCCTATTGGTAAAATCATCCACAATGACAGTATAAATGCACTATAAGAAGAAGAAATAACGTTTACCTGAATATAACAAAGCAGACTGGTACATTTTTGTAAATGTCTTGAGACTTTCTGTCATAGTACTTAAGAAGAACTGAATTTGTTCCCTTTACATTAATGAACAATTCTGGTCTAACTAATCCAACCCTTAGGAATGAGTTAAATGAAAGCGGCTTAGGTTAATACAGACAAGCGGTTCAGGTTAGTACAGACAAGCGACTCAGGTTAGTACAGACAAGCGGCTTAGGTTAGTACAGACAAGCGGTTTAGGTTAGTACAGACAAGCGGCTCAGGTTAAACCAGACAAGCGGTTCAGGTTAGTACAGACAAGCGGCTTAGGTTAGTACAGACAAGCGGCCCAGGTTAGTACAGACAAGCGGCTTAGGTTAGTACAGACAAACGGCTTAGGTTAGTACAGACAAGCGGCTTAGGTTAGTACAGACAAGCGGCTTAGGTTAGTACAGACAAGCGGCTCAGGTTAGTACAGACAAGCGGCCCAGGTTAGTACAGACAAGCGGCTCAGGTTAGTACAGACAAGCGGCTCAGGTTAGTACAGAAAAGCGGCTCAGGTTAGTACAGACAAGCGACTTAGGTTAGTACAGACACATTACAGTGGTATGGAAATCGAACTGCAAATTTGAAACAAGAGGTCCAGGGGCCTTAATAGCTCACCTGGTTTATTTTATTTTTCAATTTAAAACCTGCTGAGTACCATTTAGGTTTATCAAAGGAGTACAAGTAACAAAGTTGCATCTTCCATTTATAAATATTCAATTCCCTTTGCCCAAAGATTCTCTAAAACAAGTTTGGTTAGGTTAAAATCCCTTCAACGGTACAGAAGGAGAAGGATCTTTAATGTTTTCCTCTATTTCCCCTAATGGGCCCCACTAATCTGCCCCAAAGAAGGGGAATCCACACACCTCAGTTTAAACAAAATTGATTCTTTTCTCCCTAAGCATGCTTCAGACTGCATTTGGTTTAAATCCCTTCACTTGTATAGTAGGAGAAAAAAAATCCTCTATTTCCCCTATTGGGCCCCGCTCCTATGCCGCCAGAAGGCCCACACCCTCCGTTTATACAAACTTGAGTCTCCTTTGTCCAAAGATGCTCTAGGACAAATTTGGTCAAAATCCTTCAATTGGTTGAGGAGAAGATTTTTAAAGATTTACCTATTTTCCCCTATTTGGCCCCGTCCCTCTGCCCCCAGGGGGACCATACCCTCCGTTCATACAAAACTGAGAACCCTTTGGCCAATGATGCTCCAGACCAAATTTGGTCAAAATCCCTTCATCGGTACAAAAGGAGAAGGATATTTGATGTTTTCCTCTATTTCCCCTAATGGGCCCCACCCATCTGCCCTTAGAAGGAGGCCCACACACCTCAGTTTATACAAAATTGATTCTTTTGTCCCTAATCATGCTTTAGACTGCATTTGGTTAAAATCCCTTCACTTGTATAGCAGGAGAAAAAAAAACCTCTATTTCCCCTATTGGGCCCCGCCCCTCCGCCCCCAGAGGGGCCACACCCTCCGTTTATACAAACTTGAGTCTTCTTTGTCCAAAGATGCTCTAGACCAAATTTGGTCAAAATCCTCTGAGCCATTCAGGACAAGTAGCATTTTAAAGGAAAAAGTTGACGGACGCCGGACGCCGGACGCTGCACCATGGGATAAGCTCACATGGCCCTTCGGGCCAGGTGAGCTAATAAAACTGTACAGAACAGTCTTGATTTGATTAAGCGACTATGGCTATACACTCACCCTTAAGTAAATAACGGTATGTCTGTTCAATATCTGCTGTTTCCTCGGGAGTGGGGACTTTGGCCGTGGCAGCTATCCACAGTCTCCCTCTGTGAGCAGTGTACCATGTCCTTCCTTCATGCCTTCAAAAAGTAAACATAATACCAATACAGAAATGAGGTTTAGTTCGATGTTTTGATTAAGTGATCATGGCTACAACACTTGGTATCACATCAAAATCAACAGACAATCCTCAAGAATGAAACACAGATCTCTTGTTGGATCACAAACAACATAAGTTCTCTATCGCTCGTCAACCTTCCAGGTTCTCTATCATTAGGTTTATCACCATACAACCAGGTTGTTTATCACTTAGTCAACCTTCCAGGTTCTCTATCATTAGGTTTATCACAATTAACCAGGTTGTTTACCTCTTAGTCAACCACAAACAACCACAACTCTCTAAACCTGGGTCTATCACATTGATTACAGACTTACATTTTGATGCCGCAGACAAGAAGAGAAGCCCAGGGCTGATGCATACTCATACACATGCCTTCGTCTGACATCTCCTGGAGCTCACGATCCTGCAGTCGTAAACCAGCTTTCTTCTTCATCTCCTCTGGCCAGACTTTGTTAGTAGATTTCTGATCATTTGTCACAGAAGAGACAAACTGAAAGAGAAAGCACTCAAATTAAATAAGAATCCAGGATCATATCAGGATACCCCTCCAAAGCCTGTCACCCATATTGAGATGGCAGTCACATGAACACAATCCTAAACCTGTCACACACATGAAGATGGCAGTCACATGAACACAATCCTAAACCTGTCAAACACATTGAGATGGCAGTCACATGAACACCATCCTTAACCTGTCACACACATTGAGATGGCAGTCACATGAACACAATCCTAAACCTGTCACACACATGAAGATGGCAGTCACATGTACACAATCCTAAACCTGTCACACACATTCAGATGGCAGTCACATGAACACAATCCTTAACCTGTCACACACATTGAGATGGCAGTCACATGAACACAATCCTAAACCTGTCACACACATTGAGATGGCAGTCACATGAACACTATCCTAATCCAGTCACACACATGAAGATGGCAGTCACATGAACACAATCCTAAACCTGTCACACACATGAAGATGGCAGTCACATGAACACGATCCTAAACCTGTCACACACATTGAGATGGCAGTCACATGAACGCAATCCTAAACCTGTCACACACATTGAGATGGCAGGCACATGAACACAATCGTAATCCTGTCACACACATGAAGATGGCAGTCACATGAACACGATCCTAAACCTGTCACACACATTGAGATGGCAGGCACATGAACACAATCGTAATCCTGTCACACACATGAAGATGGCAGTCACGTGAACACAATCCTAATCCTGTCACACACATTGAGATGGCAGTCACATGAACACATTCTAAACCTGTCACACACATGAAGATGGCAGTCACATGAACACAATCCTTAACCTGTCACACACATTGAGATGGCAGTCACATGAACGCAATCCTAAACCTGTCACACACATTGAGATGGCAGGCACATGAACACAATCGTAATCCTGTCACACACATGAAGATGGCAGTCACATGAACACAATCCTAAGCCTGTCACACACATTGAGATGGCAGTCACATGAACACATTCTAAACCTGTCACACACATGAAGATGGCAGTCACATGAACACAAACAGCTGTCTTACCTGTGGGGATTGCACATTGATTAGTGGATTGACCAGATCACTGAAATCTTTTTCCTCCATTTTGAAACCATCGTTTTTTGCTCGAGCACCGTAGTGAACTTCCTGAACCACTGTGTCATCTATATCGTACATCCGTTTTCCAGATTCATTTTCAGCTTCCAACACACGACGACCTGCAAAGTCTAATGTTACTTTCATGTCCCTTCGTGAAGCAAAACGTTCTGAACGTAATTCTTCATTGCGTTTCCGTAGTGCCTCTCGCTGCTTTTTACTCAGCCATTGGTTGGAATCGGTTGAGAAGTAATCAGACTCATCATCTATTACTTTTGTTCTTTGCACACTGAAAAAAAGGAGGTTTTGTATACGTCTCCTTAAATTTGAAGTAAGGATTTCTTTTACTCTGTAGGTCAGAAAAACATTACAGCCAAATCAACCCCCCAAAAAACTACATAAGAAGCATAATAATAAGGTAACACATTATCTAAATATGATGACATTATTAGAATATTATTTCAGATATAATAATTTCATTTCATACAACATTTGCTGCTACAAAACGTATCTTTTAAAAGTATTTTTGGATGGATTTTCAATTTGAATTTTGGATGTAATTTCAATTTCAAATTTAAACCTGTACATGTTTTGCATGTTACAAAGACATAGGAAATGTATTATTATGACTTTTTTGCTCTTTTTAGAAATGAAACCTGAGAAAGATCAATCAAAGTTGGGGTAAAACATTACCCTCAAGTGATTTTTGAGTCCTGGACTGCATTTCCTGAGGGACTCACCAACTATTAAGAACATACTACATCTCTTAGATATGATATTCAACAAAAGTTTGAAAAAGATATTCAGGACTCGTTTGAAGAAGTTCTACAAAACCCACTGATCCTCAGTGTACCTGGTCTTATCGTAGTTGAGCAGCTTGTCTTTGTGTTGTATGGCCTTGTCAAGCCCGGCACTGGTCCGGCTGTTCTGGAATGGTAGTGGTTTATCTCCAACATCCTTCATTAGTCGTTGACGGAGCTGTTCACTTTTGCGCGAGCCCCGTGATATAATTTCATGTTCCTCCTGTGTACATACCTACCAAATGATGTTAAAGGATCCACAGTATACAGTTATTGTAAATATAAGTGACATCACGGTACACCAGTATCTCACGTATCATTTCAAAATGTAAGATCTTTTAAACTTTAGTTTCTTATTCCCCATGAATACGGGTACCCACAGAAAGTTTGATTTGTAATACAATTCAAAGCTACAAAGGGAAAAATAAGTTGTCAACTTTTAAACACATGTTCGAAAGATTTGATATCAATTGACTTACCCAGGTATTACCTAATCAAATATTTCGTTCTTAAATACAGTTTTCTCGTATTCATTTCTAGCATGATAGATTTTTATGGAGAATCTGTCAAATAGAGAATATATGTACATGGCTAGTGTCTTGATAGCCATTGGCAAAGCATGACAAATATGATCCGTATTGGCACACCATCTGTTTATTTCCTTTACAGTCCAAATGAACTGCTGTTTTTAAATACAACAACCCTGTCATAATTTTTATACATGTATATCCAACCATCCTTTAGAAAAACCTTCAAGGTCCTCTGGTACCCATTAAATCTTATAGCACCCAATTAATCCTACAGCACCCACAGATCCTAAAGTATCCAATTAATCCTACAGCACCCACAGATCCTAAAGTATCCATTTAATCCTACAGCACCCACCACATCATATAGACCCACCAGATCCTTTAATGCCCATCAGATTATAAATAGTACCCACCAGATTACCACAATGAAAACAAGGCCCAGAGCCCTCCTGATCACACACCACACGGCCACATTGCAGACAATTGTTGATGAGCTTGTGTTTGGCAGCCTGGCACTCACAGCTGTGTCGCCCTAAAAACATTCAAATATTCAATTATATGAAGTACAGTTAATTTTCAACATTGGCAATTTAAAAATATCTTGGAATCATTACTGAAACTAAATGATTTCTTGGTCAAAATGAGAAATTCGTCCATGTCTATCTTCACATCTTTCCTAATTGAATATATTGAACTCTATATGTAAATATCAAAGTTCATTTATGGTTTTAACAATTTTGACAAATATAAAAGCTACCACATGCATTCCAGTGTGTAAACTTTTAAACAGTTAAATGTCATTTGTGTTCATTCCAGTAATCTCAAATAAAAGAGGCACAACCCAAAGAAATCAATGATTTTCTCAGATTTTCTCCAACTTCAGTTTTACTTGTTGATTAGGATACATCCATTGAGAATCCAGACAATTCTATCAGAACATCATACAACTTGCCAACCATAAAGTATAGAAATGTTTTGAATTGTCAAATGCCTATACTACAGCAAAATATCCCGTACTTTTCAATATCCATGGGGCAATGACAATACTTGGGAGTAAAACCAGGAACTGCAATCCTTTGTTAGAGATAGATGTCATAATCATAAAATGTACATCGCATGTACATGAAAACTTGATCAAGAGATAAAAATATTATTTATCAAAATATTTGAGAACCTTTTTGACAGATTTTCTTCAGGAACCAAACAAGTGCCTAGATTAACAAGGTTCCCTATTTACAAGTTAAATTCTGATGTTAACAGAATGGTTTGTAAATATGATTATATCCAGAGGAAAGTTGATGATATTCTTTACTTAACACTCTTAAGGTTATACACAGTGCTTTCATAGTAATTTTTCAGAGAATATCCTCAAAAATCTCTGATTTCAATGTTAAAATACTTTTAAAGGCAGAAAAAGCATGGCATTTTCAGAAAAAAACAGACAATGTTTGGTTAACATCCCTGTATTCATACAGAAGGAGCAGGATTTTAAAGATTTACCATTTTTCCTCTTGGGCCCCAACCCTCTGCCCCCAGATGGCCACTCGCTCTAGATCTGTTTATACAACATTCTAACACGATTCGTTTGCAACACGTGTTTTGATTGGATACGGACCATGTTCTAATCTGCGATAGAATCTTGATCGATTGTGTAAAGCTCCTCTCATCGCACTTAAGCCACGCCCCGTTTATAACTAAAACAATAACGCGTCAAGCTCGCCTCTTAGCAAAATGAGCCTGCTGATAAGGTTAGCAGGCAACAGAACAGAAACGACCAATGAAATGTATTTGTTGAATGAATTAAAAAGTAAAAAGTAAACATTCCTTGCTCTTAACTCCATTTATTACTGAAACGTTCGTTCCATCCATGTGAAGGTATCTAGTTAGATCCGAAATCAAATGAAACATTTCACATGTGTCGTATGAATTTACACAAAACTCTTCACAAATCTTGTTCTATACAAATAATCACCGATTTTGTCTGTAAGCACAGATTGGTATGCACGCTGACATGGAAATGTAAGAATTTGGTCAATATTAATCCAAGTTTGTCTTATAAACATTGGTAACAGGACGTTCACGAACAATCCAAATATTCCACCTCGTCAACATACAGATCGAGCGCTCGCCAGTATGGGCAGGGCTAAATGACAGAGTTTTGAAAGCTTCTTTCTGATTGGTCAGTCCGCTGAAGAATGAAACGTCACCAGTTAAGGTTGCAAAGTACTTTACTACGTACTTTGTACAAGGAAATGCAACGTTTCTAAACATATTAGCGTAGTATATTTGTTTAAGTGTGCTAGAATGGGGATAGTACGCTGTTTTTCTTGTCTAAACTGGCGATTAGAACATGAAATTTGGTTTAAACTCTCGACCTATTGGTCTTGAGTTCAAACCAAATTTCATGTTCTAATCGCCAGTATAGACACTCAAAACAACGTACTATCCCCTAATTGATTCCCGATTGCCCAGCAATGCTTCAGACCAAATTTCATCACAATCCATTCAGGACTAGTAGTGATTAATAGAACAAGAGGCCCATGGGCCTTAACGGTCACCTGATATATTTATACAGAGAGTTGATTTTGTTTTTAACATGAACAGAAATATTATTCAAAGTGACCAAAAACAATAAAGCCAACTTATTCAATATCTAGCATACAGAATTCAGACTTAAAAGTATTTGAAACTAGCACCTCTGATTCTAAACAAGGAAAATGAAGAAATTTTAGCACACTGACTCCTTTGAGCCCCACCCTACAGCCCTTGGGGGTAGGGCTGGCTCAAAATTTTCAAAGTATCAAA